TACCCAAGATTTAATCTTAATCAGAGCTCACTACCATATCGGAAATCATTGCTGACAAAAACATTAGTGATGGATGTCTATCAGGATTATATACTAGTCACTTATCACCCTTTTGATGTCCATGTCCACATATTCCATGTGAAATTATTCAGTGAATTGATGCCTTCAAGTACTCCAGACCTACAGGTAAAGGAATGTTGTGATTTCTCTTAAGAATCTCATTGAAATGAGAAAATGTTAGTTTTCCAAATGACATGTAACTTGAAGTTTCAGTTCTTACTCCTATTCACCATTTTCATGAAGCTCTATTCTTCATACATTTTTAAGTGATAAAATGACAAACAGCTTTCTACAGTATGAAAACTCTCAATCGTGACTGTGAAGAGCCATCCTGCAGCAATGCATTTTATTCCTGATCAAATACCAAGTGAGGTTGTCCTAGAAAATCATGTTTCATCCTCAGAATTGTTAGTTAGAGAGCCCACAAGATATTTGTCTACTGATTTGTGACTTAACCTTCTGTGCACTATGAGCCCTTGACTGTTGCTTACTTTACTAGATGTTTGATATTGAGAACAACAGGAGAGGTTTCACTTCTTGATTTGGATGATGGAAGAGAGAGGGAGCTTACAGATTCTGTGGAGTTATTTTGGGTAACTTGTGGTCAATCAGAGGAGAAAACAAATCTAATTGATGAAGTCTTTTGGTTGGATTATGACCATCGAGGAATGCAGGTAACTTACTGTGTCTCTACTTGTGTACATAACATTTATTATTTAGTCTGATATAGATTATGGTTGGAAGCTTATTTTTTACGGGTTTGGTATCCCTCTCCAGGTGTTGATCCATTTAAGTGGGAGGATTTTCTGCAGGTATGAGTCAACCCTATTATATTGTATATTTAGTTGGTTTCTTTACGATGCTTGTTATAGCAATGAATGTTTTTCTCTTTTTTCTTCAAATGGCAGTAAATAGCTGTAATTCTTTTTTTTTTCTCCTTAGTCTGTGGTAATAGGAGTACACTTCTATATCTTTTCCTTTGTTAATGATGATATTCTTTTGCTTCTACTTGATCATTATCAGATATTTTTTCCTTTATTACTTAGGAGCTTTGATCTGTTTTTTGGTCCATACAGCATAAAATTATCAGAATAACTTAACATTTACTTTTTAGTTGGACCCAGAGCTTGAATTTGATTGTGAGGTATATTCCTTGGGGCTTCTCCCAAATGCTGGTGTTGTTGTTGGTGTTTCTCAAAGAATGTCATTTTCAGCATCCACAGAGTTTCCATGATGTCATTTTCAGCATCCACAGAGTTTCCATGTTTTGATCAGCCAACTCCTCAAGCTCAAACTATATTGCATTGCCTACTTAAACGCCTCCTTCAGGTATCAGTTCCTGTTCCTCTATCTGTGGCCAGAAGTCCACAAGTGTTAGCTCTTTTACCATGTTTCTTTCTTTTCCTTTTTCTTTTTTTTGGTTCCCTTTTTCTTTATTTTCCTGACTAAAAGTAAGGAGGAGGTCATGTCAATAAATGTTATGAGAGCTTTAAAAATTCATAGGTAAATGTAGAGGGTAAGATATCACATGCTGATTAAGCAGGTTTTGTAGTCCTTTATCATTTTTTTCTGGGACTCTGGAACGTTTATTTTGTCAGGCCTGTGGGTTTCATCTGGATGAGAGACTCATTCTGGTGAGTTGGAGATAAATTATTTTTTCCATCTAATGATGAATGTCTGATTATTTTCATAAAAATATGAAACTTTTAACAAGTAGGAAGGAGAGTGTTGCCCTCTGCCCTTTTGTTTTTGTCAAGACTGTTGAAACCTGCATGTCCAATTTAGCATTGTAGCTTCAAAAACAATATGAGTTGTTCCCGCTGTTGCCAGTGGCTGTATTAGCTTGTGGAGATCCTTTCTGATTGTGTTTCTGGTTCTCTATCTGGCGGAGGGACAAAAGTGTGGAGGCTTTATTTGGCACAATTATCAGCAGAAAAGCCTCACTTTTCACATTGCATGGAGTGGCTTCTTTTCACTCTATTTGATGCTGAAATTTCAAGGTATTATTAAATTTGGGAAAACAAACTGCCCAAGCTAGATTTAATGGAGACAAATAACAGGAACTGACAAGTTTTGATTCACTAATGACTTTTTGAACTGAAATACCTAGTTGAAAGGCTTGTGGTGATCTTGTGTCTGTTGTACACTCAGTATGAGAGAGCCCCATATGTTGTAGCCTTGACTATAACACTCCGTAGCTTAAGTGAATATTGCTACTAGTGTATACCCTGATCTCGATTTCTATGTATTTTATCTCTACATTGGAGGTTTAATCTAAGAGTTTCCCTTCTTTTTCCTATGCTTTTTATACTTTTATTACCCTATACAAAAGTACAAACTACATTTTTTCCTTGCAGACAAAGTATAAACAAGAACCAGAGTTCAGTACCTAATCACGCTGCCAATGTGTCTCTTTTGGAAAAGACCTGTGATCTGATCAGAAATTTCCCTGAGTATCTAGATGTTGTTGTAAGTGTTGCAAGAAAAACTGATGGCAGACACTGGGTGCATTTGTTCTCTGCTGCTGGAAGATCAACAGGGGTAGGTTCTTTAGGACTTTAAGTTCTTGTTAAATGTGAAACAAATGAAGGCTTGCTTGTGGTCTTTACCATTGTTCATAAATGTTTAAAAAATGTTATAGATTTGCCCTTCCTTATTCTTCCAAGCCTAGGCTGTAATATTGGAAACATTGTGTACCAATTGCATAATGTTTGTAATTTCATGAAGCAACCATAAATTTCTACAATTTGCAGTCACTTTGTTTTTTGTCCTCCCAATTCTGTTAAGTCATTTGTTTCATTTTTTTTAGGTTGTTTGGGGACTGCTTTCAAAGGAGATGGTACCGCACTGCAGCTTGTTATATTCTTGTAAGTATCACATTCTCTGTGTAATTGGTGTATGGTTCTTCTTGTTCATATTGTTTTCATTTTCCACCAACAGTATCTTTCTCTTTAGAATTGAACTATTTGGAACTTAGGTATATTTATGCAACCCTGCTTTAAAATCTTGTTAGTGCATATGCAGTGTGATAGTAACATTCAATGCTTTCCTAGTAAACCTTGCATTTATATGGTTATGAATATCTACAAAGAATTGGTAAGTTTGAGTGACTTGTTTCCTCATTAGATGTGGTTGCAGGTGACAAATCAGAAAATAATATCCTTTTCTTCCTGCATAAAATCATAGTTAGAAAATGTCTCACGTGAATAGAATTATTGGATCCCTCATGTTATATAATAATTTGATAATTTTATTCCTTTTGTAAATGCTACAGGTAATTGCCAAACTTGAAGGTCCTGCTGTCAGTCAGTATTGTGCTTTACGTTTATTGCAGGTTTGTGCTTGCAAATATGTTGGAAATAGAATATCATATGCTTTCCTGCTTTTTCTTTCTTCAGTTTCTTTCTCTTTGAAATTAATCTCTAGAAGACTCAATTCTTTGCAGGCAACCCTTGATGAATCTTTATATGAACTTGACGGAGAGCTGGTAATATTTTTGCCATTAAGTGGTACCATAGCCGTAATGCCAAAATCTCGAATGATGTAGTGATTTCCTTTCCTTTTTCTCTCTCTAGGTGAGGTTCTTAATGGGATCTGGAAGAGAATACGAACAAGCATCTCCTGATTCGGACAAACAATCTCCTAGGTTTCTGGGTTATATTCTTTTTGGTTCTAGTTATAGGAGGCCATCCCTGGATAAAAGGTTTAAAGCAGACTCTGATAAGCTGATCGCCCATATTGGACCTTTATAATGTTATCATTCCCCATGATACTCATTGCAATCTTTTGTTTGGAGCAGCACTTCATTAAAAGAGCAGAGTGCCCATATTGCTTTTGCAAGAACATACTAGAAAGTCATGCTAGCTATTTGATGTCAGGGAAAGAACTTTCCAAGCTTGTTGCATTTGTTAAGGACACTCAGAATTTGCTTCAGGGCTTGAACAGATAGGGCAAAAGGTACCAGCCTTTTAGAAAATTTTTAAAGAACTTATGAAAATAATGTTAAAAGTTACTATAACACTACTTTACCTACAATATCCGTCTAAAAGTGTTAATCATGTAAGTGCTTGGGCTAGCACTTCACCTTGGAGTTCTTTCTCTGATTCAACCTGCCTGTTTTATGTTACCAGCTTCAAATGGGTACACTACAGAGCTGGCTTGATGCAGAATTCCTCTTGGCTCACATGTGTTTTGTCAAGTTCAAGGAGTGGATAGTTGTCCTGGCCACTCTTTTGAGACGTTCTGAGGTATGATTGGCTTCATTTAACATATTCTGGTAGTAATGAGCATATTTTAGTCCAAAAAACTTTGCTCAAATGCCAGTAATAATGGGCGTGAGTGCAAGCTAGTGTTGCTTTTAAACAAATTCTGGTCTAGGGTTTAGACAACCTGGGCTTCATCTTTGAAGTTTGGAGAATTAAAGTCAAATTCAATCTACTGCCATAAGTATCTTGTAGAATTCATAAGATATCAGGGAGGATTTACATTTTTACAAAAATGCTGAATAATGAAGAAACATGGAGTTCTTGTCATGTTCCAACTAGCGTATGCCCATTTGAGGTAATTCTAATGAGAGATACTGAGTTTTCACATTTTACGTGCTGGTTCTATGCAGGTTTTTCTTGATCTTTTTCGGCACAATGTACGGTTATGGAAAGCATATAGCATGACCTTACAGGTTTGCATCTCTTGTGGCTGTAAAATAATGATATTTGCATTATTCTCATGCAAACACGATTTGCATTATTCTCATGCAAACACGATCTTCAATACTGCACCTTTTCATTTTCTTCAGTCACATCCATCATTTACCGAATACCATGATTTGCTTGACGTCTTGGAAAGGAGACTTTCTTCTGTTGCTAGTCCAGAAGATCAATGAAAGAGAAGGTATGATTCATCTTCAATGAACCTAACTAGGCCTTAAAGTATATTTTATGAGAGCCATGCCTTCTTAGTTAACAGATTTTGGTTGAAAAGCATCTATTAACGAGCCAGCATCTATAATATCAAGTGGAAGATGGACACTGGAGATCGAACTATGCAAATGATTAGCCCTTAAACCATTTAAAATTTCTTTTTTTTTTTTTTTTGTAGATAAAGAGAGATCAAACTTTCGGAGCAGTGAGAGGCATATATATTTCAGAGGTACTCATCTGACAGTCTTTTTCACATTTTGTATGATGCGTTTTCAGCTGTGCAAATTACCGAAATATTAATAAACCAATTTGTTCAAATACATTAAATTGACAAGGTAGACTAGAATTTATATTTACATTATTATCCGACATGATTTCGTCATACAACACTTATAAAATCCTACTTAACATGTAATTAATATGATTAATATTTGTCCCACTGCACTGCTGTTGTACCGGGCGAAATTGCAATCTAGCTCTTTGTTGTTTGGGATAAGTGTATATAAAGATTTGAGATTTTAAAATATGCATGTATATGTATGATTTTAGGTATATGCAGATAAAAACTCAAGATTTTAAAATCTTCACATAAACATATGAGGTTTGCATTAGATGTAAACAATCACTTAAAATTTCTTCAAATGTTTCAAACGCTCCCAATTTAAAAGAATGAAAAGAAAAGAAAACTAAGGAAAAGAAAAGAAAACTAAGGGTATTTAAAACATTTCATGTAATTTTAAGTGTTTATATGCACACTTGATAATAATCTCAGGTGTACATGTGTATATTTTGAAATTTTGAGTTTTTATTTATATCTATTTTATACTACAAGTATGTTATATATACATTTTAAAACCTAAAGTCTTACCAACTTTAAACCACAAATATCTAAAATGCAATTTCCCTTTATTCTAAAGGCATTCTGCATTCCATACTTTTATACTGAAATATTAAAGTACTTTTCACCAGCTGAAACTGATAGACTCAAAATGGAAATCATCGAACAGCCCAGATGAACAGATCTTCGCCACTTGATGTCTCAGCTTCTTTGGTCCAGACGCAAGAACTCCAACACTAGATCCTTCACACTCAAGCAGCATCTCTTCACACAAAAAAGGGAAAAATTCGTAACTTCAGATGTGGTATGTTACGAAATTAAGATTACAATCTTCAGGGAAATACCAACTTACTCTTTAGGTCAGGTCTCTTTCCATAGTGAATATTGGTAGCATCCAGAAAAGATTGTTGTGGGGGGCTTTCTATTTCTCTATCAGCATTATGGAACCATGTCTCTGGTGTCCCCGTTGGCGTTGGTCCTTCCATGTTCTGAATCTGCCTCGTTTCTCTCACGATCTTTCTCCTGTTTAGAAAAACTGCCACACTTGCTGTTGCGGCAATGGAAGCACAGATAAACAGCATATACAGAGAAGCTTTTGCGAAGTAACTGTATAGATTATTGTTCTTGTCAATTGGGTAAATGTAGTATTTTGTGATGATCCCAATCAAGATGAGGAAGATGATGAACGAAGATGAGATTATGGCCGCAAACCAGAGCCAACTGTTGGGGCCCAAAATGGCAGAAACGGGTTTGTCCGTTGGTAGGGGCTTGAACCAAACGGTGCGAACCTGCTTCGAATTATCTGTTGAAGGAGCTTGGTCCCTGGTTATGTAGGCTTCAATCTGCAGCGGGAGAGTGGAAAGCCCAGAAGTGGTGTCGGAAATTGGCATGATGAGTTCTAACCAGGTGAGATCGGATGACTTCTTGAAGGCACATATAAGAATGAGTTTAGGAATCCTGCATTTAGATGTTTTGCTTAGGTAGAGGAGCTCCCGAATTATGGATATAAAGGGAGTAATTCCACTGCCTCCGCTCACCATTACCAGCTTATCATGCCTAGAGAGACAATAGTACAATCTTAAGGTTAAATTGATGTCATGTCAGAAATAGTATTAATCTCTAATACAAAGAACAGACCTTAGGAAATGAGTTGACGCAGGTCCATAAGGTCCTTCAAGGGCAACTTCAAGACGATCAATGGAAAGAGATGAAACCATGTCATAGAGCTTCCTTGACCAACTTCCCTTAGTTTTGATCACCACACTTATCCTTTCTGGCTCCAAATTACTGCTTGAAGAAATTGTGAAGGGATGCCATTGTAGTTTAGAAATTCCAGGCACGTTTACAAACAAAATGCTCTTAGGATTATAGCACAAATCTAATTTGACCACCAAAAAAAAATAAAAAAAAGTTTAATTCAACCCCGAAAATAAAAGTCAATATAAATAATGCATGGTTTTTTGTATGAAAGTTATAAACACCTGGGCTTTTGGAGAAATTAAGTTCGATAGTGTTGCATGGCAAAACTCGAGCAGAGACTAGACGAACTTTCTGTTGGGACTGTAAGAGTCTTAAGCAACGGTCGATGAGGAAGAGGTAAAAGCCAGGGAGCATGATGAAGGCGTAATTGATTCCGACGTGAAGGATGAAGAAGACGACGAAGATTATGTAGAGGTAATGAGTGTAGAAGAAGAGCTCGAAGGCTTTCCGGCGAATGCGAGGGAATGTTGTGATCCAGAGAGCTAGTCCGCTCAACAAAGATATCTCTCCGGCCAGGTTGGATACCCCAGTCTTTTTCCATTCTATCATCTGCATTGAATCAAATTACATCATTTTTTTTTTTTTCTGAACATGCAGAAATTGGAGGAAGGGGTACAACTGGGAATCGGGCCATAATATCAACCACGGATTTACTTCATCTTAGTTAAAGCAACCAAAACTGCAGGTACCCACATATTAATTTTGATGTATAGGCAAAGTTTTTTATTTTTTTTGATAAAAGCAATAATTAGTAGATTAGTTTTATTATTTATTAGCAATTGAGAATTCGATTTCTAGATCTGATGAATATTTCATTATGAGACATATGATCCATTGGGTCGCTTGGTGAAATTTGATACATAGGCAAAGTTGGTATAAAAGAATGTGATAAAGTTAAGTGGGTAGAAAACAATCTAGGTGTCGTGTTTTACTCATCAGAACCAAAACCATGGCGAATGCTAACTTTCTCTCTCTGAAATTCTCTTCTACCCAAGAAACTGATCTTCTAGCCCGAAGCGTGAAAAGAGTTAAGGGACCTTCTGTAGACGTTCCATATTCTTCCAAGGAAGAAACCATGGCGGAGGCTGCCTCTACTGCCCCGTCATATAGGGACAAGCTCCTCCTTGATGGGTTGATCGATTCCTCTAATGTCGACCTCTCTTTTGATGCTATTCCAGAATACTTTGACGAGGACTCTGATATCGATGATGACCCGAATGATCCAGCCCCAATTGTCTTGTTTTCTAAAGAAGACAAGAAGCGGATGAGGGACCCCTGGAAAAATGCTCTTATTATTAAAACCTTCAACAAGACAGTGGGCTATACCTTCCTTTATGCTAGCATCAAAGCTCAGTGGAAACCGACAGGTAAGTGGGAATGTATTGATCTTGGTCTTGATTATTTTCTTGTTCGTTTTCAGGATCAGGTTGATCTCAACAAAGTCATCAATGGAGGACCTTGGTTTGTCGGTAGTTCCTATCTCACCATTAGACCATGGGAGCCCAACTTTAAGCCTGAAAGTGCTACTTTTTCACACACAGTCATCTGGGCTCAGCTCCCAGGTCTCTCTGCAGAGTACTATGATCCAATCTCACTGCACAAAATTGGCAATACTATTGGGACCCTTCTTCGCGTGGATGCCCACACTGCGCATCACACACGAGGTCAGTACGCTCGTGTGTGTGTTCGGGTCGATCTCAACAAGCCATTGGTAAAGATTGTTCGATTGGGGAAAATTCGCCAAAAGGTGGCTTATGAAGGAATTCGTGGGCTCTGTTTCTCATGTGGCAGGATTGGTCATCGCAAAGAACAATGTACATTTAAATCTTTAGTGGCCACACCTGTGGGGGATAGGAGTGTTGAGGCTCAGGTCCAAATCCCCAATAACAATACTGCTGATAACAATATCAGTGCACCTCCTCAAAAAGCTAATATTGATGAAGATTAGAGGGATGGCTCCATAGAATCTATCAACAAACAAGTGGAGGCTACCCCTAGCAAAAATGCCAGCGAAGATGAATTTGGTCCTTGGCTCATCGTCGAACGAAGGAAAAAGAAGAAACCAGTGAAAGTGATGCTGGATTCCTTGTCGTTCGGGAGGAACAGTAACCACAGGGACTACAATGAACATGGTGATTCGTACCGGAATGTCGGATCAGCAATCCAACCAACCCAACAGGGTCCGAGACCCAGAAGAGCTAACGAAAAAATGACAGGTGCATTGAATGTGAAAAGCCAATTCAAACCTGTTAACAGAACGGAAACAAAGATGACCGTTAATTCCTCTGATTGTAAAGTTATGGATTCTAGGCCTAATGGAGTCCAGGCAAGTAGCGTACCAGCATCTAAGGGGAAAGAAGTGTTGGAGGTGGGCACATTAACTACTCTCATCTTTGAACAAAGCAACAACCCAACTCCCTCGATGGACCAGCCCATAAAGGATCTTATCAAAACTAATGGGCTATCTAAGCCCATCACCAGTAAGCCCCACTCTCTGGAAGTTTCCTTGCTAAGTGTTAAGGACAGGATTAAAAATTTGGAAAAAGGTTGTTCTGCAGTTATCCCTATACCCAGTTCAGGTTCGTCTTTTTTCGCCTCTCAGGATCTCAATCATGGACAACCTAAGGATATCACCAACACTTCCACAGCTCAGCCCCAATTGGCAAGCCCTCCTGACGCACAACGGGAAAATGATACTTCTAGAGGAAGCACTAGATCTGACACTATCTTGGAAGGGGAAAACACACCAACTATGGAAGGAGGAGGACCTGTTTCAAGCTTGGCGCAGCCCTCTTGTAACCCTCAAATCCATAGATCCAACTCCTTTTCTAACCTTGGTTCCAACACTAAAGGAAGATACGACCACCTCAGTAGATCTGTGCAGTATTCAAAAGCTAGGATCCAATTCCGGAGAAGCAGGCATCGAAAAGAAGCAGGGCCTTATTCAACCCCTGAGATTCATGTGCTCAGTATGCGAGGAGCACCTTCAACATGTCGAGATGAGGGGAAATGTGGAGAAGATCCATGTTACCATCAAATCCCTGACTTTGCTAGAAAGGGAGGAGGATCTGGAGTACGAGTGCCTAATGCTCCCGTATCACTTTCCGAATGCAACAATGATGTTGCTGCACAAGGAAACCAAGGTGCCAATGTTTGATCAGGGCTTTGCTAAACTCATTCTGGGGCTCACCAACACCTCTCATTGGACTATGAAGATGCTTTCTTGGAATTGCCGCGGTGCGGCCAAAATGGAATTTCGCAATCGAATCTCTGATTTAAAGAACCAGTACTCTCCATCCATTATGTTGATTCTTGAAACTAAATTGTCTGGTCAGGATGCACGAGATGCAGCTGCTAAGTGTGGATTTCCCTGTTCCCACATCGTAGATTCACAAGGGAGAGCAGGAGGAGTTTGGTTGCTATGGGATGATGAGGAGGTCTTTGTTGATGTTGTCATCTCTTCTCACCAAGCCATCCATGCTATTGTAAAGGTACGTTCTCATCCTTTATTCTCTAATTGTCATTGGTTCCTTTCTGGGGTTTATGGTAGACCTCAATTTGAATTGCGTTCCCAATTATGGGAGGAGTTGCGTGTTGTTGCAAACCAATTTACTGGTCCCTGGCTAGTTATGGGGGATTTCAATGATGTGGTGGACCAAACTGAAAAATTTGGTGGTGCCCCCGTTTGCCAATATCGAGTTCGTGCTTATACCAATTGCATGAGTGATTGTAACCTCATGGATATTGGATATACTGGAGGTAGGTTCACTTGGATTAATATGAGGGAGAATAACCAGGTTATTAGAGAGCGTCTTGACAGAGCTTGGGCTAACCCGGATTGGCGCCTCTTATTTCCCAATGCTAATGTCTATCATCTCCCCCGTATTAGCTCAGACCACAATCCCCTGCTTCTTCAGCTTGATGTCCCACTAAATAGAAGTGGAGCCAGACCTTTTCGACTTGAGAAATTCTGGTTGGACCACCCTGAATTCAAAGAAATCATCACCCCTATTTGGTCCAATTGTGATTCCTCTACCTCTCAATGCATCCAAGCTACCCAAACTTCTTGCAAAATATGGAGTAAATGCACTTTTGATAATATCTTCAGTAAAAAGAGAAAGCTGAATGCCAGGTTAGAGGGCATTCACAAGGCTCTCTCTGTCAAGCATTCTAACCTTCTATCTAGCCTTGAGAAGGACTTGATTAAGGAGTATGAGCATGTTCTCAAACTGGAGCAAGATTTATGGTTTATGAAGTCCAGATCTAACTGGATTATTGATGGGGATCGCAACTCAAAATTTTTTCACCTTTCTACCATAAGGCATCGCCATCATAACCGTATCTATGGTCTTAGAACTTCTGGTGATATTTGGGTTAATGATCAACTTGCTATCACTAATCTCATTAGAGATTATTTTCTGGATCTCTTCACCTCTTCAGTGGAATGCTCATATCATGATTCCTTTTCTACCTTGGGGATCTCTACTCCTGATCATATTGATTTCTCTTGCTTGGATAGCCCTCCTACGAATGACGAAATTCATGATGCTCTTTTCGGGCTGAAGCCATTTAAAGCCCCAGGTCCTGATGGCTTACACCCTATTTTCTTTCAAAAAATGTGGGCCTCTGTCAAGGATAATCTTTGTCAAAATATTCGCAAAGTTTTTGCCTTGTGCCTTTTGAGTGGAATGAGTGCCTTGTCACTCTTATTCCCAAAACTAAGAGCCCTGAAACTGTTAAGCAATTTCGTCCTATTAGCCTTTGTAATACTACTTACAAGGTCATCTCTAAGATTCTTGTCAATAGGATGAAACCTATGCTAAATGATATTATTTCTCCCTGTCAAGCAAGTTTTATCCCTGGAAGAAAAGGTACAGATAATGTTCTTATCCTACAAGAACTTGTCTACTCCTTTTCTAAAAGGAAAGGTAAGACGGGAGACATGATTATCAAGCTTGATCTGGAAAAAGCTTATGACAGGATTGAATGGAGTTTCATTAGAGAAACCCTCACGTTCTTCAAGTTCCCTCCTCTGTTTATCTCCCTTGTGATGAGCTGTATCTCTTCCTCCTCTATCTCAATTCTTGTTAATGGCAATAAGACTGAGGCCTTCCTTCCATCTAGAGGCCTTCGTCAAGGTGATCCCATCTCCCCCTATTTGTTTATATTATGTATGGAATATCTATTGATCAAGCTTGCGATGGATACTGATGCTGGAAAATGGAAAGGCTCCAAGGCTGGTAAGCGTGGTCCTACCCTTTCCCATTTATTTTTTGCTGATG